GGCCTAAGATGGTAGCCCTCTGGAGGTCAAAAGTACGCCCCGTTTCTCCAACGTGTGTTGTTAGTTGACAGTTAGGGTCTAACCTCCAAGTGACCGATTTGTGTTCTTGTAGGGGAGTTTGCAACTCCCGACCGCTTTCGCCCACATATTTGCAGTCGCCCTCATTGCAATTTCTTTTGTAGATGACTGCTGAGGTTTCCGCGGGTGGCAATGGGTCCTTAGGTTGCATCAGGCGACGTCGAATTGTTGTTTGTGGTCGATGGGCTATGCCTACTCTGATGGGTTGTAACAGTCGCGAGACCGCTTCAGAGACCCCTTTAACGTAATGAATGGACCTCCAGACTTCGGGTTGCCGTTCATTTGGCTGTCGTCTGGACGCCCAACGTCTGCTTCCCTCGATGAAATGCCTGGGATAGTCATTGGCTGCAAATAGGTTCTTTAGGTACAATCGTTTGGCCCTTTTATCTTCTGGCGTGCTGCAGTGTGTTTCGACTCTTTGGAATAGAGTGCGGACACAACTACGTTTGTAAGACAGAGGATGGTTGCTGTTGAAGTGTAGGAACTGTCTCCTGTCGGTGGATTTTTGGAATACTGGTGCTACTAGTAGTACTACTAGAACAACTACCACTAATAATAATACTACCAGCACTACCACTAATCCCCATGCAACATTAATAAGATAAAAGATTAAAGGTGTGCAGGTGATTTAGGCTTAGGAAAATCCCCTGTCACTCTGATCTAACCATTCTTACTAAACCTCATTAGTTCCTTCCTCCTCATCTTAATCGGCCTCTACCTCTTTTATTTCTTCCCCCAATGCATGTTTCGCTTACATCTCCTCAGTCTCCGTGAAAATCGCCCTCATTAGCTGTCTCTTCCTCGCAGTTTGCTTCGTCCTCCTCCTCCTCTAACGCACACTAGTCATCCCTCGGCAACCAGAATTTACCCGTGACAAAACGTCTGTTCAGAGAGTTTGCTGATTAGCTAACTGGTCCATTTTGTACCTTCACGTTTCTTCTGTCTGGAAGTAAAGTAAAGTCGGCTGATTAAAATCTATAAAACTTAAATGACTATGTCAATCTCTATTGCATTGCTCGTAACAGGTCTCACTTACTGACTGTTCTTCCAATCGCTCGTAAAACATAGTCGCACTGTCCAACAGTGTCATCTGAAGAAGATTTCTGAAGGTACACCTTTTGAATTACTCATAACCAACATTTGCTCCTGCAATGGTGTAGTCGACTCATATAAGGGCTGGTTTTCAAAAACACGCAGTTACACCCTGTTGAACTAAGAACCGTTTTAATGCTCTGCAGTATAAAGCACAGCAGCGCATCGCTTAGTAATTGCATTTCTACTTATGTGACACAATAACTCAAGCGTGACATAACTCAGTAGTCCCCCTGCTGACAATCCTTAGAGAACTGTTGGCAACGGTATTGTGATGGGCTCCACTCGTAAAACCCCCCATCACCATAATACCCGTATGACATGAATCAGTCTACCGACAGTTAGGTGGGGTCCTCTACCCTACCGTCGTCTTACCGTTAATTGATGTTTTTCGTCTCCTAAATGGACGTTGTCTTCTTCGGCAGAAATAACGCTGTCCTGCTGACTTGATTCCATACTTAGCCACGTCGCGGCTCGCAGCCGCACCAGGGTGGAGCATGATATGTGCGTCAAACCTCGCGCGTCTGTGAATGTACTTTTGTCGCTGACCTCAAATCACCCAGATCAAGATCGAACGATAGGGACCTACTTTGCGCAGATGTGCCGTACGCCCACATCTGTTAGGCTCTCAGTTAGATAAAGTCACCATTTCTCAAGAGGGTTTGAGGAGCTTTGCGGCGTAAGCGTTTGCGCGGACAAAGCACGCGGAATCCTCCGCCATAATTATTACAAACTGCGCGAACAATCTTCAGTGAATTTTTACCAACGGAAATGCCAGTGAGTCCGGCGACTGAGTGAACAGCTAACGTAGTGAGTGGGTTAGACACTCACGGTTCTATACAGCCATTAAGCGTCATTCTACCGTCTTTGTCTCCTCATCCGTTCCATCCTTCAACTCATTTCCCCCGACAATGTCACCCCTCCCTTCATCCTTTTTATGCTCTTCCCATTCCCCTTCTTCCTCCTCATCTTTTCCTTCCCCCCCCCCATATATTTTCAGTCTACTCCCTCCCTATCTTCCCCGCTGCTCCTGTATCATGCACATAAATAATAATTGACTACAACGACTAGGAACAGGGGTTGATGCCTATTCCTCAGTAATTATTGCTAGGAACACAAAGAAAAGGGCCAATACTTCGAATAAAATCCCGGAGTAATTTCTTCTTGACAGAAATGCAAACTGTTTTGTAGGATAAATTCAAGCTATGTTTACAAGTCGGATTTAAGTTCGGAACTGTGGACACTTCTCACAAAATATTTATGCAATCATATAGGTCATATGAATTCAGCAGAATCAAGGACGACCCGACCTCTAAATGAAGGTAAGTTACCTTATTAAATTCCACCCGAAAAAAGAAAGCACTTCTAGGTTGGGCTTTCCATAACAGAGGCTAGCAATATCTTTCGAAGATGTGCAAACGCAAATTAATTATTTGAATTATTTGAATAACGTTGAAAGCAATGCGTGAATCAGACGTACCGAAGACCGATCCGCTTATCTATTCGTAGTGGTGCTTTGAAGTTAATTTAAAGTGTCATCGAGGCAAATGCGTAAAGGGTTGTTGTGTCCTTGGTTTAGGTCGTTTTAACTTCACTACACCACTGCTTACCGTCAAAAATAAGGTGTTGTAAGTTTTGAATTTTCGCCTCTAATACCATCTAGGCTTTAATTTGCTGGTCAGCTTCTTATCCTTCCACAAGATTCCGATGCTCTGTCGTTTATCGTGTTCTTTTCAGCCAAAAAAAATTGGAAAACCGGATGTTGCAGAGTTCGGTGCAACGAACGTTATTTAAGTACATACTAAATTGAGCGGCAATACTTACACGTACTTGATGCAGCTGTGATCATGGCTGATCAAACCGGGTTCGGTGGTGTATCTAAATGTACCTATGTACATATGACGATCTAAGAGAGTGAATCTGGAAAGCATGACCCACCCTCTCCGTCGGCGTTGGAGACCGGATGCACAAGGTTGAAGTACTGTGTCGACACAGTACTTCAAGCTGGATCAATCGCTCCAGGTTTCATGGAAGGATATGGTGCTTTGCTATACATTCCTCGGCAGCACCCCTGCGGGAGACTTGGTAATGCCCACCCCTTTATGTTTACAGACGTTAGCCCCAAAGTGTGCCTTTTTCTGGTCACAGATGCAGCTCGGAAACACGTTGCCCCTTCGAAAGCTTTTGGATCAGCCGACTGGTTTAGCCACTTCATCTGTCCGCGACTCAAAGGTCTGTATGTCACCAAGGCGGCATCGATGGTAGTCAGGCTCTTAGGCGCAAATGCAACACTACCAAAACCGGAAAACAGGGTAGAGACTCTCAAAGCACCAGAAGATTCAGCTGATTTTGACAAGGACATGACAACTTCAATCTGGTCGTCCAAGAGCCCAGTGCTGATGTATAAGCGGATTGACGGAGCTGCAAGCAGGACCTCTGTCAAAATCATGCAATGCCCCTTGGATAGTCTAGTCAATAGCCAATTGAACACAGTGGACAATAACATACAGCCTTGTGGAACGATGGCTCGAATACCGACTGGGTGAGGGAGGTTGCTTTGGATCAGGAATTATTTGCTGCTAGAACTATGGAAGGCTCTGATTATGGCAATGAATTTGCCGGCACGCCACCTAGTCCCGTCATCCGTCAGAGGGAATCGAGATTTACGAAATCCGATGTTTCTCGAAACAAACTAGGCAGCCGTAGGTTGCTGTTAGTCACGGCGGAATCCAAAAAGTGTCTTAACGTGACTATTTGTCCATTGCGTCCATTCTCTGCGCCAGTCGCGCACAACTTAAAATCGCCTCAGAATTTCAAAAACGAAAGCTTCCTCATCATGGTCGATTCAGCTCATGTCGCGGTGGCATTCACAAGACGTCCAATCATTTACCGGAGCAAGGACGCCAAAGTGACTGTACATGACTTTTAGATTTCATTGGCAAAGCCATCCTTTCCAAAGCTTTCTCGTGGTGAAGCTTCTGTTTCACATAGAAGGCATCTTCCTTAGATGGATTCAAACATGAAACTTCCTAGGCTAAAGAGGGATAGAACTATGTCGTACATCAGTCTGGACGCTTTAAGTGCTCATTACAGCATTTGCATCTGGTTGGTTTGTCAACAATGAAGCAGTCTTCCATATCGTTCACAAGGTGGCCCAGTGCAGAGTACCCAGCACTAGCTTGATGTATGGTTTGGTAGTTCACTCGTTGCCGACCTTTGAGATCTTCGCCATTTGGCGTACTAGTTTTTGCGGCCATTTCCTGTCAAGTTCGCCGTTTTTAAACGGAGGCGACAGAAAGAATCACTGGTATGGGACTAAGGATTGCGAAAGTATGCTCTTTTTCGGACACGCAAAGTGCAGCAAAGATGATTCTGTTCATGCAGGGGACGACTATGGGGGAGGAGGTTCAGTCATCTTAGGTAGGAGCGTATGTTCTGAAGCGCATCATTACATTATGAGACCCATTTGTTTTCAGGAATACATGACATGGTTCAAACGATCGTACCGTGTGACGATGATCGGACTTATCTTCCATTTGTGGGAAAGCGGTTTGAGATTAGACTGAATATACCCTGTCTCCAGAGCACAAACTGTAGCAGAACAGCTTAGTACAAAATGAGAAAAGCATGACGGCGGCGAGAGTGTTCATGCTTCTTTGCATGTTCCCTTCTGAGGTGGCTTTGAAAGCGCAATCGTCAGCGAAGCACAGTTGGCGGACGGTAGTTATGGATACACGCGACTGGAAGTGCATCAGCAGCTGATTCAAGATTTGGCCGTGCGTTATGTTATGCGGATCCCGCGGCGTTCGTCATGGTAGGGGTCCATCGGCATGGTAAAAAGCCAAGAGACTAAAGAGGGTAGACGCCAGGACGTTGACCTGCATCACTCGGTTGGTCATTGTGAATGCCACAGAGACGGCTCAGTTCTCCGTAACGCACCTCGTTGCGCCATCGTGGAGTTGCTACGTCTCGCGCCTGCACGTCATGCTGCCGCCAAGGTCCAGTTTGAGCACATGCCTCATGTGGGCATTGTTCGTCAATCTGAGAAAGCATCGTCCCTTCATATGGTTTCCAAGGCTGCTTCAGGTGACTGGCGCCCCTGCGGTGACTACATGGCCTTGAACAACGTAACTATCTCGGACCGCTATCCTGTCCCGCATCTTCAGGATTTTACCGTAGCCCTTTACGGCAAATTTGTGTTCTCGAAGATCGGCTTGATCCGTGCTTTCCACCAGATTCCCATTGCTCCGGCGAACATTCCAAAAACGGCCGTCACTACACTCCTTGGCCTCTTTGGACTCCGCAACGCCTCACAAAACTTCCAAAGATTCGTAGACAAAGTACTTCATGGCCTACCCTTTCTTTACGCCTATATCGACGACCTTTTGATTGCCAACTCCTATGCCAAAGAACACATGGAGTATCTTTAAACGCTGTTTAACCGCTTTCAAAAATTTGGCGTCGTTCTCAACCTGTCCAAGTGCATTGACTCCCCCGAGGGCCTCGGACATATGATTGACTCTAGGGGCATTTATCCGCTTCCCGCGAAGGTTGCGGCCATCTGTGACTTCCCTTCTCCCTTTCCCAAACGTCAGCTCCAGCGATTTTTGGGCATGGTACATTTTTAACGCCGGTTCCTCCCACATTGTGCCGACCTTACTCTGCCGCTCACGAACCTTCCCTCCAGTCCCAAACATTCGTTCAAGCTGTCTGCAGACACCATCGCTGTTTTTGACAAGATGATTGCTGCCCTGGCCGACGTCACCCACCCGACGCACTTTTCTCCCGATGCTCCCATCGCCCTCATGGTTGACGCCTTCAATTTTGCTGTTGGCGCAGTTCTTCAACAAAGTCTCCCGGATTCGACGGTGCGTTTGGCCTTCTTTTCAAGAAAACTCTCTAAGGCCGAAACCCGCTACAGCACTTTCGGGCGCGAACTTCCTGCCATTTATGTTGCTGTGAAGTACTTCGGGCAGTTACTTCGAGTCCGAGAGTTCGCAATTTTCACGGACCACAAGTCACTTTCCTTCGCAATTCACTCAACTTCCAACAGGCTCAACCCCCGGGAAACCCGTCAACTTGACTACATCTCTCAGTTCACCTCAGCCACATTGACGGATCAGGCAATAAGGACAGCTGACGCATTATCCAGATCCTCCATCGCTCACCTTCACCTTGGTCCCGGGATCGACCTTGCTGAGATGGCAGCGCAATAACGCCGTGCCGGTTCTCCCTCTGATGAGAATGTTTCCGGACGCCAACTCGCGAGGAATTTGTGAGCGTGGACCGTCCCAAAGCTGCCGTCCCAGACGGAGGATAAAGGATGATTTTCTGACAAAAGAGTAAAATAATGCATGTTCTTGTGCGTGTTTACTATAAAATATTTCTGAATCAA